AGGGAAGGGGAGAGCGGCAATGAGAAGGGGACGGCAGCGGTGGCGCAGCAAGGCTGAACGAAGCGAAGCTGGAAGTGCTGGAAGTTCAGGTTTCAGGTTCGCCAATCTTGCAATGGTGCGCTGCTTTCAGTTCTCATGTTACAGATTGTGTTTTACAATCCGTAACTGTAATTCTAACATCGAAGAAGACTATATGTTGCATGCTCGACGAGATGCTGCTACCCTTCTGCCACTCTTCAGGCAGTATGTTGTACCAGGAACAACTATAGTGTCTGATCAGTGGGCTACAAATTTTACCATCAAGGACGTGCCAGATGGATACCAGCATGAAGCTGTCAACCACTTTCTCAACTTTATTCATCCTGAGACCGGTGCTTACACAGACAGCATTGAGTCTCTATGGCAGAAATTTAAGGAGGGGCACAAGTTGCGATATGGGACAGAAAGGACACAACTGAATTTATACATGGACGAATTCATATGGAAAAAAATGTGTGGGGCAATGCGCTGTACCATCTCTGGTCCCAAATAGCTGAACATTATCCACCGCCTCCAGGTTCCGTCTGAAAGTGCGAGATTATCTTTTGGCTCCTGATCGGTCTGCCTTATGACAGTCTAATTTTTGGAAATTCCCTCGTATGATAGGCGCTAATGCAGCTTTTCTTCCAAATTTTTCGAACTGAGAGAGAAGCGAAATATGAGTATAAATGTAACGGCAGTGTAAATGCTCAGATGCACGCAAGACTCTGTTCTCTACCTTTGATGGGGACAAACCACCAACCTCTCTTCGCCGAAGTTGGCACGGTCGACATGTCTCCTCGGCTGCTTGAAGCTGCAACGACAGCGACGTCGCTCCAGCTGCAGCTTGCCAAGAGGTGGGGCCTCTTTCGAGGCCCCTCTTCAAATATATATATGAGGCTATCAATCGACAAGAGCTCCAAACTTTTGAGCCTGTCTCAAAAAAAGAAGCTTTGTAACGCAAAGCAGCAGTTAAACCAGAGACTGCCCAGTGCAGATTTG